TTTTTTCCTTGAATTTGATCCCATGTGGTTCCATCACATGACATTGTCGATTGTGCTGTTTCTACCTGTCACCATGAAATTATTGTTTATCTTTCTGACTGGGTTGTATTTGATCGATTTTATCATACTTTATATTTGCAGGCAGAGAAAATTGGTCTGGAATCCATGGACGTAGAGGCTTTAAAAAAATTGAACAAAAACAAGAAACTGGTTAAGAAGCTTGCTAAAAGATATCATGCTTTCCTAGCCTCCGAAGCTGTTATAAAGCAGATTCCCCGTCTCTTAGGACCCGGTCTTAACAAGGCAGGCAAGTGTACTTGATGAGTTAACATCATAAATATTTCATATTATGGTCTGTTATGTTGTAGAGAACATGTTAAATAAGAACATGAGATGGTGATTGACGGGTACTACTAGAGAACTGCAATTATTCATGTACACCTGTGTGAAAGTAGCTAATTTTCCCCGTTTCAGTATTGGGTTGAGATGGAGTCAAAAGTAGTCTGATTATAGTGCTCAATTAAAGCTAATGTGTTCTTGCATTGATAACATTGTCTGCACTGGGCCTGGCTTGTAATAGTTCTCGTTGCACGTGTCATGGAGCAATTGCACCCCTAACCTATCTTGCTTTTATGATGATAATTGTCGTAATAGAATAGAATAGGTTACAATTTTTTAACCAATTTGTCTTATATTTTGACACAGGCAAGTTCCCGACTCTTGTTTCTCACCAGGAATCTCTTGAATCAAAGGTCAACGAAACCAAGGCCACAGTGAAATTCCAATTGAAGAAGGTGCTTTGCATGGGAGTTGCTGTAGGAAACTGCGCTATGGAGGAGAAGCAGATTTTTCAGAATGTGCAAATGAGTGTCAACTTTCTAGTTTCACTTTTGAAGAAAAACTGGCAGAATGTGAGTCCATTTATCAGAGTTTTCTATATTTTCAACTAGATATCTCCGTCAAGTTGGCCATTGAGTGTATAGTGTGTTAATGTTGGTCACATATTGGTGTATACATTTGGTTAGTCCTCGGCTCACAATACTAACATATCCTTGTCATACCATATGTTTCATGCTGCTTTTAAACATCTCTAGACTGAAGTTTTATCTGTAACTGATTGGTTGTGCCTGTCAGTAGCATATAATCCATTCATCTGTCGTAAATTGTATGTTGCCTATTCTGCTGTATAGCTGCCAGATTTATCATGCATTTTTATCTTGGTTTGTGAATTCAAATATTTCATACAAGGTTTCATGTGCAATATTGGTTACTGAAGATTTTAACTGTTTTGTTTGTAAAATCAGGTGAGGTGCTTGTACCTAAAAAGTACAATGGGGAAGCCTCAGCGCATCTTTTAAGGAGATTATGTTTTGTTTTCTGTTCAACCGATTTTAGAGATAGTTTTGGAGCTAAAGCAATGGAGTTTCCCCTGTAATAGCAAGTTTTTATTTATCTTTGGTCTTGATGGTGCGTTCAGACATCATATTTATTGTTTTATTTTGTTATTTTTCTACTGCGATGGGATTGATTTTTGCTTGCTGTACCGACGTTTCTATAATGAATAGCCAGTTTATCATTGCTGTATTATTATTTGCATAGTTTATTTTTCTATTTTTCTTCTATGATACTGAATAGATTGACTGAAAAATGAAATGTGAGCCAAATTCGAGAATCGCTTACATAAACTTGAGGTGAAGGTAGTTGATCGCACATTATTATATTAGTGATTCGGTCGCTAAGAGGAAGATTTGTTATGAGCATTTTTAAACTTTTGGTTTGGAACTTGAGTCCGGTTTCAGGCATCTTCCATGGAAGTGTACAAGATCAAATTGCTTGGACCAGATTATACTGATCAAGTTCGAAGCCCCTGATGATGCATACATCCTGGACCTTTNGAAGTGTACAAGATCAAATTGCTTGGACCAGATTATACTGATCAAGTTCGAAGCCCCTGATGATGCATACATCCTGGACCTTTATTCGTCAACCCGATGGATCTTTTCGTGATGGAAACCGAATAAAGGGGGTTACTTGCAGATTGTGTGATTCACATCCACAAGGAGGGTGATCTTTGCCGAGCACCTCTTGCACTTAGTGCCTCTGTTTTCTTAAATACAAACAATATTATGGTTAGTTTCAACTAGTAATTTGTACATCAATAAAGTCATAGCCCATAAGTACGGGAAAAATTTAATGCTGACATGGCAAAATGTAATAAGGTTGTTATTTTTCTTTTTTCCCTATCTTTCAATGATACTGCGTCGTGTGCTTGTGTTGTGTTCACGACTGTTCAAGAAAATGTTGTAGTGTTTTTTGGTGTTCGTTTGGTTTTGTTTTACATGGAAATTGTCAATTTAAGGGATATTCACTTCTACCATTGTTTTTAGAATTTGTTTCCATTGCCAACAAAAAAAAAAGGAAAAAAAAAAAGATCAAAAAATCATCTATATTTTGGTATCCGTTTGACTTTGTTTTACATTCAAATTGTCAATTTAAGGAATATCTTCTTTTACAATTGTTCCTAGAATTTGTTCTCATTGCCAACAATTAAAAAACAAAAACAAAAAGTGAAAAACTAAAGACCACCTACCGCCTAGGAAAATAAAAATAGAAAATCACGCTTTAAGATGTTGTACCTAGAAATTCATGAAAAATCATTTTTCTGGAAAATTTTGTCAATCAAACAGTCCAAAAGTGAAAGTTGGAATTTGAATTCCAAGTTCTATGGAAAATTTCGTACAATGAAACGGGGCCTAAAGGCCCGTTTGGTAGGAATTTTTTGCCCTAAAAAATTGATTTTTTGACCGTTATTTTACTATTCAAGCCGTAATTTTTGACTTCTTCTCTCACATGTGGACCCCACTTTTCTTCTAACGGTCAAAAAATCAATTCTCAAAATCCCTACCAAACGGGCCCTAAATTTATTTTCAACAGTCTAAGGAGGCTCAAGTGCTACAATAAGTAAAATAGGGAAGAGACGGGGGAGCATAATTTTGGAGAACGTAGGAAAGAAAAATCAACTTCTTTTTCCACTTACTTCAAGGCTTTAGAAAAAAAACCAATAAACTGGCCTTTTTGTATGATGTTGTAAATGGGAAGTGCACTGAAAAGGCACATATTTTTCCGGCTATTTGGATCAATATTTTTATCTACAAGATATGGGAAGAAGAATAAGAATAAAGTTCTATATCTCTATCCTCCCAAAAAGTTGAGATAGAAAGAGATCCTCGGTATATTAGATGGTTTTAAGTGTAAATGTATGATCCAAGCAGAAGACTTGAGTTCATTGAAAATAAGACTTGAATTACATATGATATCTTTGTAATGATTCAAACTTTACAAATATGCAAGTTCAGTACTATGTTACTATCCCGCCCCATGAAAGTATCACATGCGAGTCATGGACGACTCAAAGATTTTGAGAACATGATATGCTTCGTCAAAATCACTTCAGTTGGGATGAAGCTATGCACCCACTACTAATGAGGAAAGGCTCGTCAAGATAGTTCGTATCTAAGAAATTCACTAACTAGGCTAAAAGACAATGGACCTTAGCCTTGCACCCGCCACAAGGAAGGTGATATTTTTATATTGTAATAAAAGATTTTTTTCAAGAAAAATCTTACACGTCCCATGAACATGTATATCATTGACAAAATGAAAAGAAAGAATAAGAATCTTGTCCTCCACCCCAAAAATCTATAGTCCCAATTATAGACATAAGAAAATATCACTAAGTGCTCGGTCCTGTCGTGTAAACTTCTCTTTTCCTGTGTTCGAATCGAAACAAAGTGGACTGATGAGGTAATTCTCATTCTCTTCATTGATTAAGACCCAAAAAAGTTGAAAAGAAGTTGATGCAACAACAGTAATTGCGTGGGAAAAAACAGTTTGAAAAGAATGTAATTTTTACCTGGAAAAATGTTACTTTTACAGATTTTCAGAATTCACGCCAATCGCCTTAAATGATACATAATAATTTATAAATATGTCAAACGCGTATACACTGAGAGAGAGAGAGAGAGAGAGAGAGAGAGAGAGAGAGGAGGGAGAAAGTCATAAAGCACCGCCGTGGCTTTGATTCAGCAGAGCTGGCGTATAGCAATGGCCACCCTCATCCGGGTTCTTCTGATCCTCGTTCTTTCTGGTTCTTCGTCTCTGCCTTATTTTCAAGAAATTATTTTTTATTTATCTGAATCAGTTCTAATGTGCTCAAATGGAATTCCTTTATTGTTATTCAATACTAGAATTTTTTGGTTTTCCCTAAATAATAGAAAGTAGATTTATTTAGTGACATTCTTCCATATAAATGTGTGCGGATTTTGATTCTCAGTAGAACTAGCATTTTTTTGGATGTGTATTAATTCTATTCAGAATGTTGATTTAAGGAGTCCAACAAACTAAGTAATTAGTAATTTACTTCATTGCAATATTGGTATTTATGTGCTAACTAGTCATGAATGTTTAATTCTTCTTAAATTTATCAAAATTTGTGTTCTCTCTTCACTGTGTTCAGATTCAATTGCTAGTATCCGAGGCCTCGGAATAGGAATTAATTATGGCCAGATTGCCAACAATCTCCCATCACCTTCCCGTGTCGCATATCTCCTTCAATCTCTGAACATTAGTAAAGTGAAGCTCTATGATGCCAATCCGAATGTTTTAACTGCATTTGGCAATTCAAATGTCGAATTTGTGGTCGGGCTACGAAATGAGGATCTACAAAAGATGACTGATCCTATTCAAGCTCAAACTTGGATTCAACAGCATGTGCTACCTTATATTTTCCAAACCAAGATCACTTGTATCACCATTGGAAATGAGGTCCTCACAGGGAATGATACTCAGTTAATGTCTTATCTTTTGCCGGCAATGCAGACAGTATATGGGGCTCTTGGTAGTCTAGGACTAAAGAAGGATGTATATGTTACAACGGCTCATTCAACAGGAATCTTGGGTAACTCCTTCCCTCCTTCTGCAGGAGTGTTTCGACAAGATCTAGCCGAGTACATCCAGAGCATTCTAAATTTCCATTCACAGACTGATTCGCCATTTCTTATAAATGCATATCCCTTTTTTGCATACAAAGATAACCCCAATCAGGTTTCATTGGAATATGTGCTTTTCCAGCCTAATCCAGGGACTACAGACCCAATTACGAACTTAAAATATGATAACATGTTATATGCTCAAATTGATGCTGTTTATTCTGCAATCAAAGCAATGGGCCATACAGATATCCAAGTCAGAGTTTCTGAGACGGGATGGCCGTCTAAGGGGGATCCAAGTGAGGTAGGAGCTACACTGGAGAATGCTAGATTATATAATGGTAACTTGCTGAGTCGGGTACAGCAAAACCAGGGTACTCCAGCAAAGCCATCAGTACCTATTGACGTGTATGTTTTTGCACTTTTTAACGAGGATTTAAAACCTGGGCCATCATCTGAAAGGAATTATGGATTGTATTATCCTGATGGTACCCCAGTTTACAATATCGGGTTACAAGGTTTTCTTCCGCGCATGGATTATTCAGCTTCGTACAGAAATGTAAGCAAATATCTAAATAGAAAAGGATTGCTCTCGTGCTAAGTTTTATGAGTTGTTCGAACTGATCTATCTAATGCTATACTTTTATTTTATTTTCAGGGCTTAGATTTCTTTCATCTCCTTCTCTTTCCCGTAGCCTTCTTAATATGTACTTTATAGCTGAAGATGCATCACCCTGATGAGAATGGGGTGGAGAATACAATAAGCCTCGGAAATGCCTCAATTTTTTGTCCCCATCTTGTGGAGGGAAGATTTTGAGGTAAGAATTAAGACTTTTCACTTTGTTTCACTTGTGTGGTTTCAAATTTGTACATGTTCATAAAAATATGTCAAAAATGAGTTTTTACATTTTATTTTAATACACTAAGGTAATGAACAACAATGTAAATGCAGAACTAAGTGTCTGTGTGAACATAGATTACATCGACAGTCAACTGCTTAATCATCTCAAATTTATAATTGCATATCCCATTGTTGTTTATTTAATAATTGGTAATCTGTCTCAATCTTTCTAATCTCCACTTGCAATAATGCATATGAATGTCATTTTATTGGGATTTCTATTTGCTTCAAGACAAAATAATGAATCGGCTTGAATCAAGAAAATCTTACAAGTTTTGGCGATCTTGAATTGTAAATAAACCACCAAAGTTGGAAGGACGTCATTTTTTGTCTCTGTTTGTGAGTCTCTGTCTCCAATGACATTTCATATCTTATCTCTTTTTCTTTTTTTTTCCTTTTTGACGATATTTTCTGTCATCTTCACATCAATTTGGAACTTTAGTTTATACTTCTGTTGTGCAAGAATGGTTTTTTGTGTTTCATAGCTTTAACTTTCGTCCTCTTTTTTTTTTTCCGCGCCTCTTATTAAAGCTTAAAATCTTCAATAACTTTTCGGGTTTGAACCCACACGGTTGGCCTGTGGTCTTCAGCATCATGGAGCCCATTTTTCTCTTCTAGGTGATCAATTGTACATCAGATGAACTTAATGAGCTAAAATTGACAGATAAAGGGATAGTTTTTATCAATATACATAGCGAGTGGCCGCTGGAATTCATGATAATCCAACCAAACATCTCTGTGGTCCAACATTGAACTGCAAAAGAAAAACTATACCATGATATGCTTCATTTGTACGTGTCTAGACAATTATTACTTTGTTAAACTGAAGATAGCATGTTGTTGGGTGGCTCAACGGAACATGGAAACGGTTGAAGGTAGAATAAGACGTGCCTTGTTTGGTGGGCTGTCACTTTAGTTGTTAATAGAAGATTATAGTAGCCATACCTAGAATCAAGGCTAGGAAATATAGAGACGTCACGTAAAAAGAGAGTATTCATACAGTTGACTCCAAATTTACTGATAACAAAGCTTAGTTTACTGTGTTCTTGTATAAGTATCTTATTATCTTAAACTGCAAATCGTATTTAGGACTGTTCTCGACTCCACACTCTGTAGTTTGTCTATTTGCAGGCAGCCAGATAGCCAATATACAATTCATCAGCCTTGGAAGGAGTTTTTGCCGTACAAATTTCATTTGCATAGGATTCATTCAAAGAAACTATAAATAACAGGATTTTTTTCATCCCATCTGGACAGGAAATAATAAAGGATTAACAAACGTATACAAACAGATTATAAGTTTGGGAATGTTTCAGCAGTAATCATTTTTTATATTAAAACCCATGTTTATGTAACTTTATATATGATTAAAATGCTGTCTATTCATGTTTTTGTTTTCTTGCTGATGTATTCTTCTAAATTTATGAATCAAGGTAATAGATAATTCTTGGAATCCATGTTTGGTACACAATACTGGTGAGTATTATGTAATCAACAAGATTTTAATTTATTTTTTTGTTTAATATTGATTTAACATTCCATGCCAAATTGATTTTTTTGTACTATTTAACATTCCATGCCAAATGAATCTTTATTGTGAATTTATTTTTTTATTTTTGTTAGTATTTAGATTTTTAGTTTGATATATAAATACAATAGAACGATATTTTATAATCAATAAACTAGTAACACAAAAGCAAATAGCAAAATATATAAGATGAAAGCACGGTTTCAAATCAAACCAAATCATTTAGATTTTATCTGGGGTTTTTTTTTTTTTTTAAACAATTTTATTTGAAAAATATATATATGAAAAGATGTCCAAATCGACCCATCATCTTTTCTATGTCTAATAATGAAGAACTTTTCACTCACTCGAAAGGTGATTGTTTTTTTTGTGTCAACTTTACTTCTATATGTATGACTCCCTTGTACGGTATTTTAAATAATTCTTGTATACATCGAGCCTCCTATTTCTGATCACTCCCAGTACGCGTAAGCACAGTATTCCAATCATCTGAAAACGTTTGCAAGTGCATGTCATTTATTTATTATGATGGCAGAACCCGCAACCGCTACCCTTTAGGTGTACATTGGGTAAACTATTGGGCTGACAAAATAGCCTGCAAACTACGTCAACCAGGTAAATCATACTAAGCAAGCCTGATACGACAGACTCGACAGATAAAGCGTTGATAGGAGGAATCGACCTCGTGATCAAAGACCTTCGCGCTCACCTACTCCACCAACTCGACCATCCCATGAGAGGCTGCATGTCATGTTTTGAATAGATGCATTGTGCGCAATGTAAATCGAAGAATGATTGTTAGGGTACGAGCAATCATGCTGAATGAAAGAAAAACAACCCATTGTTGTGCCCTCGTTTTCTTTCTCATCCTAAATGTACTGTTACAATCAAGACAAAAACATTCAAGGATATAATCCTTCCTGTCCTATGTTTTCACCCTGAACTGCATGACATACTTTTTAACAACCAGAGCAACTTCAGAAAGTTGCTCAACCTCTATACACAGCGAATAACATGCTAGATTTTTATGCTTCCGTCTAACTCCAAAAAGGAAGTCGAGGAATTGTCATCGAGATCTTCATCGGACCCATGTCCAAGATATGGTTTTAGAACCCTTGATTTTGTGGGAATTTTGAGCCATGTACCAGCACATAACCGGGCCCAGCACAACACATCACCCTACAATGGACAGGTCGCCAGTACTGGCACGAGCCAGGCTAGGCCGGCCCAGTCCTCGGTCCTTACTTGGGGTGATATATTATTTAACCAAGTACAATTAAGAGTGTGTTTGCTGATTATAATTAAGTTCATTCATGACTGCATAATTCTATCTCTACTTGACCAACAATGCAAATATGTAAATTGCTATTTTGACAGTAAATTACTTTCAAAATAACATTCCTAACATTAACTTCTACAACTAAAAATAAATCATTATAATGAAGCATCTCGGTAAACCCTGTCTAACCATGATATATTCAGAAATCCTTACAACATGCTCTTAAATTTAATAATGTTACAATGTTACCCCAACTCAAATACCATTTTTAAGACGGCCATCTGCAAACAACTAATGATGGTTAAAATACCTTCATTAGATAGTTGTTCACCTGCATCACACGTCTCATGGCTAATCGAGAGATAATAATCCCATGTCTCTACTATGTCGGTACACCATTTTCAGCATTTGCGATAGAAGATGATCCCCCATTGCATGTATTCGCCGATACTACAGTTGGCTTAGGTCCAGCATCAGTCAAGCCCATTTCCTCTCCTGCCTGACAGTCCATATGAACCTCCAAATTAGTAGCCATCTTACTTTCGGAGCTGATAGAATCACCTGCACCTAAGTCTACTCCTCCATTATCATTCATCTTTACCTCCACACCACCACCTGCCATCTTACCTTTAGCACATTTACCCCACCTCACTCCACGCCTCTTTTTCCGCTGTTGCTTCTTCAAACGAGTTTTCGTTGGTTTGAGGGCAGCTGCAGTCTCCTGGGTGCTGATTCCAAGATCCGTTGCCTTCTTTTTGTATGGACGAACAGTGTGAACAGATTTCCCAACTTGATCTTCAGAGCCAGAGGCAGCAGACTGAATGGCCAATAAAGCAGTTCTCGCAGCTTTAATCTCAGCTTCCTTCTTTGTGTTTGCTGAACCTCCAATATACTTGATGCCCCCAATTTCAAGGGTACAATAAAATGTGAACGTATTGCCTTGTCTCTCGTCCTTGTGGCACTCGTATATTGGAACTGCAAGGTTCATTTTTTGAGCATATTCTTGCAACCAGTTTTTGCATAAACCTGTTTCATGCTGAAATATAAACCCGAAACTCAATGTTAAACAATACCAAGACAAATAATAAAGATCAAAAACAAGAACCATCAAAAGGAACACATTAACAAAGATGCTTTCTTGCTCGGTCTTTTCTTTTCTGAAAATTATCATTTATTTTCTTAGATAAATGGATATCCCTGCTCTGTTATGAACCCAAAAACTTGAGCGGAAATTAAGAAAGAGTACAAGAGCCACAAACTACTGAGTAAGATCAGAATGCAAAGAGAGCAGCAAGTCTATATACTTGAAAAGGACAATAGATTTGAAAGGGGGGGAAAATTGAAACATGAAATTTCGTAATATTGGTTCAATTTCATTTATGTTTCAATTCTCAAATCATTCAAGCAAAACATGTGTGCAGCTACTTATTTAGAAACATTAACAACAAAGAAAACAGAATTTATGTTAGTCAAGATAGGCACATTCAATTTGACAAAATGCGAGCATATGCACTTGAAATAATAATTTAGCATTGGAATCTAGTCAATTGCAAAAATTCAAACCAAACGATGTATAACTTTTGGATTGCAAATTGTAAACTTGTCAGCATTCTTAGGTCTCTATGGTTATCTACGTGTGGAATCTCATAAGTTGTGCCAATACGTTTGTCAAGTAAGCAAAGAAAAAGTAAACTATGCAATACAAGCTTTTTTTATTTATTTATTATTATTTTTTTTTTTGGGACTAGCAACAAGAATCAGCAACCATGTATTCAAAATTGTATGTCAATGGCTTGCAGTCCATAAACCTATTTATATGATTCAATAACATTGTTTAAGGACAACCTATGTTGCTTGGACTCGGGTACAGGTACGTATCTAAATGTCGGATTTTTTGTTTTTTAAAATGTAGGATACGGGGACATCGCTAAAAAAAAGTCCAAATTTCGAACACGGGTACATCATGAGTTCATCTTTTAAGCTTCAATTTTTTTACTAACCCAAGAAGTCATTTTGAATAAACCAAAATCAATTGTTCACAAAGAAGGAAATGAATATTGAATAAGAGATTAAAACGGATAAAATAGAATTTTGGGATTTAATTTTCAATTATATAAAATAGAAAATGAGGGACTTGAATGTAATTCAGACTTAGTGGACCACTAGGTAGCACTATATGGAACCCATTTTCATTTTATACAAACAAAATCTTAAACCACCAATACAGAGTGGGAAAGAAGTAATAAAAAAAAAAAGAGAGAGAAAAGGAAAAGAAAGAAGAAGGAAAACTTAGCGCCGTTGCCCTTTTCCACCCTCTCAGAGGTGGCACTAAATTTATAGAGAAAAAGTGGGAACGAAAAGGAAAAGAAAAAAAGAAGACGTAAAAACGGTGAAGTGTCCAATTGAAACTTGAAGGATCCGACACATATTCCATACCTATGTCGTATCATATCCGACAAGGGTACTCCTACTATTTCGAAGAGTCCGAACATCAAAGAGAACAACTGCCCGCAAAAAGTGCATATCCTTCCACAACTGATAGTAGTATTCACAAAAGAACAACATTGATGTTCTTATAAAATTGACATTCATAATTCATATAACTCCGAAAACTTCATATCATTTTAATAGTCTGCAAGACGACTCTCAAGACAAAAATGGTCCATAAAACTTTCAAAATTCATCTCAATATTTCTCCTTGTCTATCTCAAATTATTCAAGTATTGAAAGGGTATGCCAAGGTACACAACTGCCAGACCTCTCCCAAAACTACTCTTCCCCCTTTAGTTTCTATGAGGCCGGTATTGCTTGGAACTAATTCTTCTATTAAGAATTAAACAGAGTATTATGCTATAAATGCCAATAGCTTAGCTAATATACCTAATGAACAAAGAATGTTTTTGCCTCTAATATAATTACCACTGGTTGAGTGATGCCAAACTTTGTGTCCACTGAGTTAGCAAGTTCCATGAGAGCTACTTCAGCAGCTGACTGCTCTGCTGCCTTGCGATTAAAAAATCCTGGTAGAGAATCATATCTAACATTGTTTACAATAACTGTCGATCTAAAGGAAGGCTCATGAGAAGGGCCTTCCTTGATAGTCTCATAAACAGGTGTCGGAAGCCCTGCTCTCTGAGCATACTCTTGCAAGCGACTCTTGAAGACGTAAAAATTTGAGACACCTGCAATGCATTGATAATTATGTCAGCCTGGATTCTAAGAAATCTATGTAACCATCGTACAAGATAGCTGTCAAAACCTATTATGATTCTTCAAAGCCAAATAAAAAGTCCAATACCACCTTGAAAAATAAACATTCTATTTCAGAATAAATAATTACATATTGATGAATTTATTGATAACATCACCAAAAAAGATTTAATTCATTGTTGTAAGAATTTTTTTTTTTTTTGATAGGCATTGTTGTAAGAAATTTATTTAGAGATTACAAAAATATAGGCATATTCATCTAATTACTCCCTCCGTTTCCTTCTCCCATTCCCCCTGCCCCCACACCCAGGGACGAATCTAGGCTTCAAGGTCAGCTAGGGCGGACTGCGAACGTTGAACATTTACTGTCAATGGTCAACGTCCATGAAACGAAAAAGGATCGCTTATTAATATTTAATTAAATAATATTCAAAAAATTGTCTGGACTAGAACTAAAAAAATTAGATACACTACTAGAGTTAGAATAAATAGATATGGGCTTTCGTTTTGGTTGAAAAAATTGTTCAATAATCTGTAAAAATGCCTCAATTTTTTTCGATTAGAATTGATTAAAAAACAAAGCACATATGGTTGAATTAAGGCCAACATCTTCTCAATTGATTTTTTTCACTTATCCTAAATTCTTAAACATAAATTCTCAAATGACAAACCAAAACTAATAAATTATAAATTAGAACTCATAACTCAATGACTCATACAACATAAATTATTTATCCCAACCACATATTCGCAATTCTCATTTTAATGCCAAATTGCCAATTAACTCATCGAACATAAATCATTATTCATAAGTCATAAATAAAAAATAACACCAAAATCAAATTTTGAAAACAATGATTTTTAGAACTAGAACTATTTTTTTACCCCCAAAATAAAAATGTTTTTCAAACTCTTAAAAGAATGAAGAGCAATTCTTAGATTGTCCAAATTTGAATTTTATAAAATAAATTGATTAAACATAATGATAAAAGTATACATATTATGAAACAATAATTTGAGTGAATAAATTTTTTAAACAAATTATTTCGAAAATGAAAATTATAATTGTTTAGTTATTATTTATTGTAACAAAATACAAAGAAGAACCCCTCTACCACATGAGCTGCCGTTGCCTTGTTGGAGGTAAGTACAATCTTTTATTAATATTTTATTATTGTGTTTAAAAATTACATGAGCTGCCCTTGCTTTGTTGGAGGTAGTTACAATCTTTTATTAATATTTTATCATTGTGTTTAAAAATTAAAATGCGTAGTGCAGGCCAAGAGATTCGAACCGTTGTACATTTAATGCAAAAGGCAAGGACAAAACCACCAATCTGAATGCCAATTTTGTTTATTCTTTTGCACAAAAGATATATAGATAAGTATTTAACATAAACCTCCACTAAATTTTTCCTTGAAGGATCCAGCACGGGCGGCCACCCTGGCTCGCCAGGTGCTGGATCCGCCCCTGCCCACACCCAAACACACCAAAAAGTCTCGCGCGTGCACTTCTCAAAAATATGATTCACCTCTTCATCCATACGGCTAATTAATATCAATCAAGGAAGCATGGTCATGAATGTTGGACACAACAGGACATAACACGCCAACATAATTTTTCAAAAAAGTGCCAACACAACACGTTGCCAAGACATTTAAAATGATGCAATTATTTTTAATAGTTAATATTTTTCATAAAAATATATCAATCTTTTATAGTTTTAAATACAAAATAAAAATTCGATACAGATAAACAAATCAATAATAATTAACTTAATGGGAGTCCATTTACTCTCCCAATTAACTCACTTTGATGTTCATTTCAAGTCCATTTACTTTTCCAGTTAGCACAATCTATTGTTGATTCCAAGTCATTTTAAGTTTCCCATGCCAAAAGCCCTCTTTCTTGTCATTCCTCCAGTGAATTGAATTTAATTTTCATTCTGAGTCGACCTACTACACCCAATCGTGAGCCTGGTTTTAATTAGAGTGTCACTGCCAATACACTTTTCATTGTGAAAAATGCATTTCGATGATCAATACGCGTTAGATACTAACACGCCAGCTCCCGTGGTGTGTCGGTACTTCATAAATTTCAACAAGCATACCCAGATAAAGGCATATATCGTCTAAGAGGACATGATATCATCTCCTAGTTATTTAGTTTTCTTACTAAATATTGCATCAACAAATGGGCTTGCATTTAAATTAAATATTCCTACCTCAATCTCTCATAAGATATAAGCCCAAGGCTTAGATCAATATGTAGGCAGAGACAAAAATCTAGAAATCACAAGCTAGACAAAACTAAGAGATCAAAATTCTGGTACACAATAGATAAGAAAAGTCATAAGTACTAATGAAAACCCCAAAAAGTAATTTCTGCATCAAAGGGTACAAATAATTAAGAGAAATTATTACTTGGAGGTGTATTGCTCTCCTGTGAACCCTGATGGTTGACCTTGCTCTTCCCCTTAATTGCAGGAAATGACAATGGGGGTTCACATCTAGGACTGGCAAAATGCTCTGCCTGTGCAGGTAGGCTCACAGGGTTGGCAAGGCCATGAGATGCTCCCATTGATTTCTCAGCATTACCATCAAATCCAATCTGACCAGCTTCCATCCGCATTAATTTTAGCCTTTACCTTCTCTTTTCAACACTATTTTATCTGTGGTGGATTACCAGAACAATCATTGCAATTTTATTACTGAACGCCATAGATCATGAATAAGGAGAAAAAAATCTATTGGATTGTGTGCACGTTAGACCCCACTAAAAAGCCAGAAAATCTCAATTTCAAGCAGGGGCCTATTCAAACCAAAGATTCCATTTTCAGCTGCTAAAACCCCTCTTCATTCTCCTTGCTATTAGAGAGTGAGTGAATACTAAAGGAAGCAAAAATAATTTTCAAACAGTTATGATGCTAAAAATGACTTAGGGAATGAGTTTGAGATTCATTAAAGTATTTTTTGAAACCAAATGCACTTAATAGTTTCACTTTTATCTTTCAGAAATTTTCCTATTCTCGAAGGGAAAGCAATAACCCTCTTGTAATGGTCAAGGTGAAAAATGTCCACTAAATTTTTTGTTTAAAATTCTTCTTGTACATATTAATGTCCAATTTATACATAGTAAAAACCCTTAACCACGTCATCTTCTTCCACACCCCAACCCACATCCCGCCACCCAAATCCCCAGCCCTCCTTTCCAACTTGGTCCTTCTTAAACAAATTTCTCGAGAAAAAATCAGAAATTCTTCTTTTTCTCCTAATTTAATTCTTGAACAGTCTTCTACCGTGTCAAACATTCCCTTGATTCTTAACAAATACCAAAACTAACCATTAAAATGACCAAAGTAAATAAACGAGGAAAGATTTCCCAACAGAACAAAATCCACATACAAACCATTAGGCTCGAGCAAGAAATGCAGCTAAATTGTGATTATCAATAAAAAATAATAATAATAATAAAATTACCAGATAATAGAGGAATTAACAGCTCTTATTATTTGGGTATCGGAGAGTAGGCCGCGATTTGGGATTCGGCCTACTCTTCTATCGGCGTTGCCGAGGAAAGCTGCACTCTCCAGAACCGAATAAATGAAACGCACAAAAATGTCACTTTTGGGGCCACTATAGGGTACAAATGAATAGTTTCTTTTGTCATATACCCTTTTCAATATTTTTTGAGTATTGATTCTATCGTTTCATAAAATATCAATTTTATATTATATATTTGCCCCTTTTTTCTTCACCCATCACCTTTTCGTCCTGAACCGCCCTACTCTTAATTTATATTTTTAAAAATATTATATATATAATTTAAATTACATTTAAAAAATTAAGTAAATGAAAACAAAATCAAGACGGGGAGCAAATCCAAACAGAAGAATACATATTCAATTTAGGGATAATTAAACTTGAACCGATGATTTCCGCCATGTCAAAGTGATACTATACGACTAGAATATATCTTTCTTTGCCCTCATCGGAATAGAATTGAGAAGTATTAAATCTACTGTTCAAAAAATTCAACAATACCCCGCCTGCACTTATCCTGTCTCTCGAAAATTCCCTCCCTACAGACCAACCTAGTTGTCATACCTACCTCATCTACCTTAGACACTATCAACAATCCCTTCGTGCTTCCTTGAAAAAGTCAACAGTTAATTTTAATTACACCTTTCATATAATTTTAATAAAATAATCTTTTATCAAAAGCTTTGTAAAATAGCCCTTTCATTTGTTTGGTGAACATTGGTCTCAAAACTCCTTTGGAGTGGCGAGCTCTAGAAATAACAAGGGAAAAAACGAATTTATCTCAAAATTTAAGTATACACGGTTACATTTTTAGACAGTAAAAATTAACATTTCCTTTCTAGTAGTACAATAAGCAATAATTTTGGTGAACGACTTTTATATCTAAATGTATCTTGAATTAAAACAAAAAATGAAAGAGATGCATTTCCAAGACACTTCCCCGAGTCCATCTGAAGCAGTTATAATTAAATTTCTAAAGCTTGGATCAGTTATCAACTTCATAGAAACCACAAAACGAAAATAGGATCTGCATTCGTCGGACAAACATGTTCTGAATTTAGAAGGTTAAATTCGACTACAACAATGATGTTCTACGAAGTCGAGAACGAAAACCATTAATAGGGACGATAACGACGCCCTTGTCCACCATCATTGCTGTGTCTCCCCCTGTTGGAACTGCTGTCACTTCTATTACCACTCCTGCTACCGCCACCTTTCGGAGTCGGAAGGGTACGCGTTTGCACGCCTGGCTGTTGTCTGCAACCAACAGAAGAAGAAATTAGACCTCTATATACAGGAATCCTTGGCAAATGGACCAACAAAATTTGTACTAGGATTCATGCCATAAGACTTGATCCAGTATCATATCAATGACAGGTGAATTGAAGACTCAAAATAGAATTGAGAAGGAACGTCCCACAAAAACTACTAACTTCAAAGAGAATGGAAGAGTTTGCAGTATCACGTGTCACCACATAAATCAAGAAAAGCCACCATAATTCTCAAAAGCAACTTACAGTGTACCAGGGACATGGAGGGATACAACAATGTTTAGAAATGTTAGCTTGACACATTATTTTCAAATATAAATCCACAGAAATCATAACACTAGAGCTTGACTGATATCTGGAAGAATTCCTTATCCCAGAGATCCAGAGTCCCCAGCATATACACCAGCAACACAACAATTAAGGTGGTCCTCAAAGCCATTCAGGTCTCTTGACATATCCAATATAACCCATACAGTCATAAAGAGTTCTAATGTGTAGAGTTTCATAACCTGGGCTTTTCTCAATTGCAATTACACCAAAATTCGCTCAAGTATAAAGTCAAAATTTTGGTGGCTTTCTCATGAATTTAGCATAATTAATAGAAATTTTCAAAATTTTGGTTGCTTTCCCATGAATTTAGCGTAATTAATCGAAATTTTAAGTACGTGGATTTATACAAGGCAGAATTGGCCTACTTCTGTTTTGCATTTTAAAATTCGCAGGGTCTATATATTAGAGAATAGTTGCATTAAAAACCTTAGAGATACTTCATAGACAAGAGTAAGGGTCCATGAGCGACATATAATCTACAGACTCGATCAAAAGTAATTCCTCTCTTTCTCCCTGTACCTTAATGCAGATTACACCTACCTCCAATTCTCTGAAAATTAAACTCACGAAATTTCCTCAACATCAATAGAATTCTATTGTTAGAATTCTTAGTTTTTTTAAAACTGAACCAGCAAAGCGAAAGATGCTCACACGATAGTTACAAAAATAAAAATAAAAAATAAATAAAAAGGCATAGTAGCTTACAAGACATATCCAATCCGTCCATCAGGAAGAAGCATAGGCATCATGGCCATGCCAGTAGGGGTTGGTCCTCCTCCATAGACCATAGGCTGCAAGTCAGATAGAAATTGATACAAGGCATGCAAAAGTAAACAAAATTTAACACAAACCGTTTTAAATTAATGTATGCATAGGAGAAAGCAGAAGGAAATACCATTTTTTTGATCAGTGTGGAAATAGTGTACATGTGGTGCACAAATACTATTCTAAAAGTACAAATGCTACGTATGTGAGAAAAAACCAAACCTTTCCACAAACAACCAGAAGAACAGGACAAAGGTTAGCCACTCATTTTCCTTCAACTGGTTTTTGGCATTTTTATTGTTTTAATTTAAATAGATGCAGAATTTATTTTCACCCCCATCTCTATATTTCCACTTCAATTAAATCCAGGTAAGACGTGAATTAGTAGGCCATAAGTTATGAACTGTTTATTTCTACATAGATCCGAAGAAATTATTTCTAAAAAAAATATGATTCTACAATTGGAACCAATTTTGCGACCCAAAATTATCATAGGAAGTATCCCAATTTTAATAACCTTCACTCTTCAGGCAAAAGGATAAAATCCTCTCTTTCCTCTCCCTGATAAATGAAATAGATCCACAGAATTTCCTTTCAATAATTAGGAAATAGCAGTAAAATTAAAAAATAGTTCGCCCTTGATGATCAAGAGAAATATCTATTTATTATTCAAGGATTTATTTGTAAAGAGTAAAATGTCTTCTTGGATCTCTTGCGAAAAAGTTAGACCAGACCTCATAATACAAATTTCTAGCCGAAAAATCTACTTGACGAGCTTCTTTGCCACTGAGTTTTTAGGTGCCATCGAGTAAAGTGTAGCAAGGGATTCTCCTAAAGAAATTTAGAGGCATAGAGGTGAAGGGACTTATTATTAGCTATAAATGACTATCATTAGCTATATTAGTATCGACATAATAATATGAAGAACGACAAGCTAACTGTAACAACCCCATCTCCATGTCCAAGTCATTAGCTTATGTATTGTCCGCTTTAAGAGATTCTAAGCCCATCTTAACCCTCATGCATAGTTATTAAAATCAGATCGGACCGGACCGAACCGGACAACCCCATCTCTATGTTCGAATCGTTAGCTTATGTACTGTCCGCTTTAAAAAGGACTAAACCCATCTTACCCCTCATGCATAGTTTTTAAAATCAAGCTGAACCGGACCAGCAAACCGGATTGTTATCCGGTCCGGTTACTATAATTTGTACATTTAGCAAGTGAACTTGTCAAAGATTGGTTGAACCGCTCAATACCATGGCCGACCAAACGGGTTTTGATGAAACCAGAACCGGTTCAAGGATGAACCAGTTTATAGCAAAGTCGAGTGCAAAATTTTTGTTCAATATGCAAAGGTAGAGATTCGAACCTTGGCATTTGAAGTGAAATATTACATCCTTGACCATTATGACAACATCTAAACTTGTTTCATAATAACAAACTAATACATATATATTTTATATTTAGAATAATTGTTCTCCTTTCTTTTAAAATTTTTTTTAATTAAAATTATAACCTAACAATGATCTACCGGTTGAACTGCTAACCCACCAGTTGAATCATGACCCGATGACCCAATGATTTTTCTGGGTTGAGTCTGATAACTATGCCCTCATGGCTTTCTATTGCATTCCCTAGAATTCGAACCTTTGACCTTTCCCTTAAGTAATAGGCTCTCCCAAAGCGAATAATATATAAGCTAACGGTTTAGGCACTAAAGTCGAGTTGTTCCAAAAAATGCGTGTTTTTTGTCACAACTCGACCTCTGTACTCAAGTCATTATATCAAACGTACCGTTCGCTTTGGGTGGGCCTAGGTTCATTTTAGCCTTCACAAATCTCTATCGCATCCTCAGGATTCAAACCCTTGGCTTTTCTTTTAAGAATGACTTAAATTGAGTCTCTCATTAGGCAGAGATTTTGTAGCACGGACACTTCAACTAAAGTAGCGTATTCGTGTCCGGCACGTATCGAATATCAACACTCCTCAAAGACTCCGTTATGGTCATTTTTTCTCTTTATCAGAAATATTATATATTTTTAACTCAATTATTATTAAATAATATATAGGTACTCATATATAAAAGATTTCATCAAGAAAAATTAATAATAAGTATGAAACTAAATTTATAATATATAAATAAATTTTAAATAATTTAATCAACATGTTGATGGCATGTCGTCAGTACTTTTTTAAAAAATCACGTCCTGAAGACTGACATATGTCATGTAGGACACGCGTGTCCGTGTACGTGCTTCATAGGGCAGAGAATTTGGATTCAAATTCTAGGAGATGTGATAAAAAGTTGTGAAGGGTAAGAGGGCAGATGCCGTCCCAGAGCGGTTAATACATAAGTTAACGGTTTGAGCATAGAGGCTATCATTACATTAACAACTGTTCCTAATGTGCATTCTTGGCAAAATCTACCAACCAATTTTCTCAAAATATAAAGAAGGATCAGGATAGGTCTAAGAACATTGTTCTGGCAATACATAAATGGATTTGACAGGGATAATGGAATTTGGTAACATTTGGAAGCTTTCAGACAGCCATAATACAAACAACATTGATGACAAATGGTGTAGAACGATGCACAACAAACACGAGAAAGGAGTGTGACCTAATGAAGGCAAAAGGACACGGAAATCTGCATCTTCAGCTTACAGAAACTTCAAGGAACACAATTTGCCTAATTAGGTCACTGAAATCTGTAATTGGTAGTACCAAAAAGAAAATCTATAGGGCGCTGTGAAAAGTTGAAGCTAGGCATAATAAGCCTAATAGTTAATAAGTAATAGACACGAGAACCTAATATTAAAAGAATAATGGTCAATCAGAAATATGTCAACTTTCAATTAATTAAAATTCACTCGGATTTTGCCCAAATGATTAAGGGAATCATGTCCACGTGATTTACCTGTGCAAAACCAGTTGCACCAAAACCACCACCAAGAGCACCATAAGCTCCACCCCCAAAACCAAAACCAGCAGCAGGTGGATAAGTTGAAAGCAGGCCAGGCATTTGTATGTTTGATCCTCCGGCCGACTTCGGCTCTGCCTGTGGCTTTGCAAGTGAACACTCAAGTACTTTCCCTGAGAAGAAATGAGCACGGCCAAAATCACGCATTAGGTTTTTGCGTTTCCACGACTACAAACTAAGCGCAATCAAGGTCGGCAGTTTTTTCCCTTCACAAACAGCAACAGATATTACCACAAAATACAGCAGCACTCACCATCTATTTCATATTTTTCAGTATTTTTCAGCGCTTTCATAGCGCTAGACCTATCAAAGAAATGCACAAAACCAATTCTATTATTCTCCATTCCAGGCTTTGCTGGTGGTAGAACCACTTTTGTGATCTTCCCATGACGTTCAAAAATCTCCTTAAGCTGATCTTGATTTATGTCCTTTGGCAGATTCTTCACATACACTGCCTTAACCTGCAAAAATAATCGTGATAGCTTATATTGTTTAAATCTGGAACAACTTCAACATAATATTCTGATCTGTTTATATCCTCTAAATATTCAGGGAATAAATAACTGGCACTGGACTGCTTAGCGCAAATCGATATAAACGGTAAAGATTACAAGTTGTACAATGTCATAAAATAGAAAATGTGTTCCATACTTCCATTAACAACAATATTAAAAAAATTTGTGGTGAATATGTAAATTGCAATTTGTGCGCATACACATTCAACTTATGAGTACTTATGGTGAGGACAACTCTTTGTTGTCTATCAAAGTCTTGAGCTTGTGCAGTTTTCATATGTTTTGAGCGCCCAAACGATTTTCTTACTTGATTTAAAGGGTTTGACATAGTGGAAGCTCATGAGCTCCTCAGTTAATAATTTGTATTTCATCTTGCCGAAATTCAACATACTGGGATTCTGTGAATCACATCAACCTATTTATACATGAACATCTTCGTCATCAGATGTAGGTAATTATTTGTCTTAAGAAGCCAACAATCCATATAAGCATCCATACAGACAAAAACCTTTGATCATTGAAGATGGAAATATAGCACCATTGTTGTCCTCTATCAAATATAAATAATAAAGTTAAAAGACCAAAATAGAGGAGAACCAAATTTTTGCAAACCTGTGAAGCAGCTGAGGAGTCAGAATTTTTAGGATCAGCCCAGCTCACAGTTGGAGTGTTATTCTCAAGCTTAAATTTTGGGTTTGTCATTTTCTGCCTTGAGTACTCCGCACATGCTTGATTATAGTAGTCTATAAAGGCAAATCCCTTATTGTTATTAGAGTTCTTCGTGTCCTGCAATCTCAAAGTTGACACATAGTGAAGAAAAGTGCAAAACTTATATTATGCAGAAACATTTGATAAAAAGTCACTGAGATTTCACGGAATTACCTTAACCAGTTGCACAGAAGTAACACCGGGCCCAGCTTCTGTGACTGCTTTCTTCAAATCTTCATCACTCCAGCTCTTAGGAATATTACCAATAAACAGCCGGTTCTTTGCTTGAGATGGAGAACATTTTATCTTTTTCCCCTGAGTGATAGAGAGAGAAAGCAGAAAGATTAGCATATATAGGGAGAAAGAAAATAATATAGTGGGAAGAAATTAGTAGCTCGTGGATAAAAGGAACAATCCTCAACTAAAATGGTAAAGAAGCACATTACATTTAACTCAGCCTTGTTCAGCTTTTCAATGGCTTCAGATGCAAGCTCAACATCTTTAAAGGTCACAAAAGCAAAGCCCTTGTTCTCACCAGAATCTTTGCCTTTCATTATTCGGACCTAGATACGAAAACATATAATGAAATTAGAGAGTAAAAAGTGAAAAAGTAATACTCCCACAAACAGCCATAAAGAATACCTCAACCGCTTCCCCAATAGACACACAAAAACATCTCAAGTCTTCCTCTGTAGTATCTTGAGAAATTCCACCAATATATACTTCTGAACCATGAGGAGGAAGGGCAAGAAGTTCAGCGTGTTTTTGACTCTCATCCTCATTCTCAACTTTTGATGCGTTGGCAATGCCTTTTTTAGTTTCACCTCCGTCAGCAATGTCAGCCTCTTCCTCCTCTTCTTCTACTTCTTCTTCTGGTTCTTCCTCTTCTGTTAACTCCTCCTCTACCTCTTCCACTTCCTCCTCTTCAACTTCTTCATACTCAATTTCTTCTTCATCCATTAACTCTCCATTATTTTGGTCTCCATCAAAATCCACCCTTTCAAAAGAATCACTAGACTTTTGGCGATCACTTGTTTTCTCAGGTTCAACTAGCTTAGGAGCTCCTGCTGCATTTCCATTCTCCTTTGGCATCTTATTTAGTAATATATAAGATCGCAAGTCAACTCTGAAGAAGCCAGCAGAATTCATGGGAAGAAGTATACAATTAACACATGGTAGGAAAGAAAAAACTCAAAAGGAATTGGAACATTTTAGCCTTCGTTGGCCACAGGTAGTTTATAAAAATATAACAGGTTCCGACGAAGTAAGTTTTGGATAAAGGACATATAGTATAAAAGCTGGTTAACAGATAGAAAATGAAAGAGAAGCTCAAATGATAATGCATGCTGTGTGAAGCAGGTGCATAACATCAAGAAAGATTTCCGTTCAAACGCGACTAAGAATGATACCAGAGAAATTATGAGATATAAAATTGGTTTTAATTTTAAGGAAAGGTGTGCACAAGCACCAAAAATATAAAAGGATAAGAAAAGAAATAGCATGTATCACAGAAAGGATAAAGGAGGAACAGCAAGTATGAACCAAGACAACAAAATCAATATCAGAGCAAAATAATGCAGACAGAATATTTTTGCACATGCAGAATTGTTCAGAATAGTGTTAAAGAAACTTCTGTATCAGAAAGGGAGTCAAGCCACAAATAGTCCAGTCTCACGAAAACAGTTCCAGTTCCTAATTAACATACCAATCTATACACCTTCCTGCAATATATCAACAAAAATAGATTAAGAACTTAAGATATATGTTGAAATTAGAATTGCTTACTATGCACAAACTCAATTAAAAGAATCTGAGGATATATAATGCCATAGCAGCAGAAATACTAGATGAATGGTGCATGGGTTTAAAAACACAAAAACTAGAAGACCAATAAAGCATTTACAGAAATTTTGCTAATATTTATATGACTGAAGGTACTTATCCTATGATTATTGGTAAATAGTACATACAAGACCATCACCTGCAAGGAATAAGTTACCAAAATTAATAGAAGCAGAGTTGAGAATAGCCTCCAAAGACTACATACAATCTTCCTACACAAATAATATTCTACAGCTAAAAGTACTGCCTCGTTCAAGGATTCTTACAATTGAAAGGGGAAGGGTATAAATCATGTGGTATGGTAATGCATGATGAAACTAGAAGAAAACAATTCAAAGCACAGGGAAACCATTCGTTTCTTAACACCAATTTAACCTCTGTAATCTTTCAGAAGATATATATTAAAAGCTATCTGTGTCCGAATTCTATTTCAAAATGTCATATTCCCTCCTCCAATACCTGGCCCCCTTCGCCTCAAAAATAAAGTTCCACCTTTGCCCACACCCAGAGACACTTGGCTTTTATGAGAAATGTGTCAAAACAGACTGCAACTAGTGTACAACGCCCATTTATTCTAAAGTATATTTTATACTTTGTTAACATTCTCGCCTCTTAATTTTAAATTCTATCAAAATAAGCGTGAGTATAATTATATTACGAATTTAACACGTTTATTGAGGTAAATCTAAAACATTGAACTAACTAGAGATTATAGTTCTGCATCATTACAAGATGAAAATATTGTCGAGAAAAATCAAAAAAGATAACCAAAAAAGCCGGGAATTTGTACATAACATTGGATGAAGGTGGGAAAAGAGAACCTAAGCAGACATTAGGAAAAGTTAACCTAGACATATAAAATACTTCAAGGTTACATTTTTCATTAAGTGTAGCTCTTTTATGACATGCTACCAAGAGTGGCAGAAACGGAAAAGCTGGCCGTTTTCCTTTCAATATCATCCTACAGTTCAATGTGTGGGGAGGAAGAAGAATATTCACTTGAAATGCTAACTGACTATCTATAGCCCCTAACACAGTACTGATGTGCAGTTCAAACAGGGAAGTGAAGTTTCCACGAAAAGCCGATCTTGACTCTTACATGAGAGTCACAGCGCAACCAACAATTAGGAACAAGAACATGCGAACTCAGAGAAAATGAGCTCCTAGCTGCTCACTAATGAAAATCTAGCACCCGCAAACTGGATTCGTGACCAGACTAGATCCTATATACACAACACGGAATGCTCATATAATTCATTGAAATTAAATCGTTCACAGCAATCAAATCAAGTGCCGAAACAACGCATAAAGCCGTTTTTACACATAAATCTAAAATGATATTACCTTCCAAGTTTGATGATGAAGAAGTTGAGAAGAAATCACTGCAACGAGAGATAAATCGGTTCCAAGGAAACCCTTAGCCGCTTCCCCCGCCTGTTTTAAAATGGGCCTGGGCTATAAATTAGATCGGCTTTCCATTGGGCTTTGCATGGTTTATAAAAGAGCTAATTGTTCCAATGATNTTAAAATGGGCCTGGGCTATAAATTAGATCGGCTTTCCATTGGGCTTTGCATGGTTTATAAAAGAGCTAATTGTTCCAATGATTACTACTTAAGTCTATGTCTTCGATTGTTCTCTGAAATTTAAAATATTGAGTTTTTGCCACTAAATTTTAAAAAATATTATACGTTAATCACTGAACTTTGAAAAATATTATACATTATTCACTGTAAATTCGATACTTTTCAAAATTCAACAATTATGCTAGCAAGTAACGTATAGCGTATTCGAAAGTTCAGTGCCTAAAATTTAACATTTTAAATTTTAGTGAGCAACTTAAGATATAGACCTAAGTTTAGTGGCAATCAAAGACATTGACCTAAATTCAGTGACCAAAACTCGACATTTTAAATTTTAGTGACCAATCAAAGATATGAACTTAAGTTCAGTGACCATTGGAACAATTATAACTTTTTATAAAAGCATGGATTTTTGGGAGGGGGGTAATTACCGTAGCAGTCCCAAACCTTTCAATTTTCTTCAGATTATACCTTAACCTTTTTATTTTGCCGCTGCAATCCCAAACCTTTCACTTTAACGACAATTGTAGTTCATTAGATGGATTACATTCAATATTTAGTCAGTCAACCCTAAAATAAAATGTTTGGCTCAACTTGACAAATTAAATGAGTGTTAAAATGGTATATTTACAATTTTTATAATAAAAACAATTAAAATAATTAACCAAAAAATTAAAAAGTTTGTTAATCCTCTCCAAAACACTACCACCCCTCCCCCAAGATTCAATCTTTCAGTGCACAAAGCCAGAGCACATCCCCAAACCACAATCTCGAAAATGAACCTATTGTCCAAAGCCACTGCATTCAACTGGTGTCTCCAACATGGCTTTACCACTAGCCCACTTTCAATGTTGCTCCTCACTTGAATCTCCAAATCCGAACGCAAACGACGTTCCTCACAATCACAATTTTTTTACGATTAGTTTTCAATTATTATTCATCGATTTTATATAGGATATAATCAATTGTAATAGTCCATACATCTTTTAACACAAAAACACCATATTTGTCAAATTTTAAATGATTTAACTTTATATAACAATCGATTCTCCATAGATCAATCCCAACAAGAACTAATTGTTTAAATTTATCAAAAATCATCCCCAAATAAAGATGTTTGGTTAATATCTTACTATGCACGGCGTAGGATTCAGGTTAAAGGGGAAAATTCGAAAGAAACGAAAAATATAAAACAAGAATTTTTTGGGGATCCAAATTTGATACACCGATGTAGAGTAATGCAAAATAGTATGCTATACCTTGGTTTTTAGCCTCGGATGTGTTGGATTTATAAAAAGAATCCAATTGTGGTTGTAAATGTGGGACCCAGAAAGAGAATTTTTCCTATTCAGCACTTAGTACACACTTATCATTAGATGAATCGACATTTTGGCCTTGTTTGATAGTCATTTTTTTCAAAATGTATTTTTCAACCACACATTTTACATTAATTTACTATTTTAAAATACATTTTTACATAAAAATAAATATCAAACACCCCCTTTATTTTTGTATTTGAGATTTGGGCAATGGGCCTGTGGATGGATGGAGGCGGCGACATGAATTGAGTCAAATATACCATTTTACCTCTCATTTAACTTATTAAGTTGAGTCAGACATTTTATTCAAAATTGACTAATCGAATATTGGATGGAATCTGTTCAATGGTCTACAACTACCATTAAAATGAAAGGTTTGGGACCGCGGCCTTAAAAATAAAATATTAAGAGGCGTTTGTTTCCCATTTTATAAAAATGAGAATGAAAAATATAGTCTTTACGGACTCCCCACAGGAGATAGAAATTCAAATTTGGTGATTTAATGTGATGGATAACGGTCATATTTTTTATTTTAATGGGGGAAAAATGAGAAACAAACGAGGGATAAGTTATAGTCCGTAAAAAATTGAAATGTTTGGGATTGCTACTAAAATTATCCTTTTATTTTTTTTGGTTATATACCCCAACTTTGTGACGAAATTTGATAAATACTTGATTATAAGAAAGTTACATGAAAATGCACCAAAAGGCAGGGAGGGAGGGAGGGAGGGAATTGTAAAATTGGTGCTGATTGGATTATAGCCATTTTTCTTTGTCTATAAGATTCTCGAACGATCTAGTGTATTCCATCAAATAAATTCGAATAATAATACTACTTGTACATAGTATAATTGTATGATGGTTTATATACAGGTGATGTATAAAAAGGAGATTGTGGAATTTTTTATTTAATTGAAGAAATTTTGATTCAATCATATCTCATCACATCGTGTGTATATAAATCATTTTGTAGATGTAGCACAATTAAAATCTGAATTAGGTATTGGCCTAATTTTTGTTTGAAAATGCTTATTGTATATCATTATTTACAAATTGATGAACTGGCAAAAAGAAAGTGAAAGAAATTTTTTTTTTAGTTGGTTGGTGAAATTTTAACACAATCGTATTTCACCACATCATCTATTAGAAAATAAATCTACAGGTCATGATGTCCATGTAACACAATTATTTTTGCTTATAGGCAAACCTCTTTTTTCTACTTAGTTTCAACCATATTCTTAAAATAAAATATTTTATTCATAAGCTCAAATTTATTTATTTTTTCATTTTTTAACTACTCGTTTTTCAAAAAAAAATAAAATTATTTTTTCAAATTTCATTTTTTTTCCAAAATGTATTTTTTAATGGGCGTCAAACAGGGGCTTAATAGAGAAAAATATACAATGACAATGCTTTAACTTTATAATTCTACATTTAGCAAAACTTCCAAAAACATTAAAATCAATCACGAATTATAATAATAAATCACAAATATTTATAAGATGTTATTATTTATGAAATTTAGGAAAATCAATTTCGCCAGAGTCTCCATATTCACAAATTCTCCAATCCACCATATCCATCTAATCCGACAGATCTCTCTTTATACAACTTCTCAATCAACCATACCCACCCAAATCTCTCTCTCGGATCCTTCAAATTGAACAATCAAGGAATCAAGTTTAATTAGATTGTTTTCGTCGATGTTGAGAATCTCCACTGTGGGGAGGCAAATGATGGAGCTCTCATCGACAAGAGGTAGGGATTAAAATTAGAGGTGGTGCCATTCACTTTTGTATAGTGGGCTTGGGTGAGTATGAGGGTAAAAATGAATAATAACATGGTGGCGGTGTTATGTGTGTGTGAATCACTATATGTGCTACACCTCCATTTTACAACGCACTTGATGGGTGGTCAAAACAATTGTTAGTTTCTTGTTCTTTCACACCATA